CCCAATCTAGATAATATCACAAATCAAGATAGGATTCCCAAATCTTGGAAATCTTGTAACTTGGGCGATCTTGGTCGGAATAAGGCGATGTTAGCATCGTTGAAAAGCTCTGAATTTCTCCTACGCGTTCAAGCATTTAGACTTGGAGTAAAAACACAGAGGCGATAAAATCCAACAGCCATGCATAATGATTTATGCTCATGCAAATAATGAAGCATGAAATGCACGAGCATACGGCAGGACGTTAGGATGACTTGCACTCATATTAACGTGCATACAACAAACTCCCCCTTTGACTACCGGATTGCATGCACACACACTCACACGCATGCAAATTCATCACACACACAAACATACATGCACCCATGACATTGCTGGACACACTAGTGCAACGCCATGCCACACATCTTAGCACACTTCCAATGTGCACTCTCGGGAAGTCTCTTGGTAAGAAAATCAGCTGCCTGTTTGCTGGCCTTCACATGATGAAGCTCAACAACCCCCTCCTTCACCATCTGCCTCACCCAATGCCACTTAAGCTTCTTGTGTTTGTTCAACCCATTTAAAGGCAAACAACACCCCCCTTCCTCCCCACCAACCCACTCCCCCTCACTCCTGCCCTCCCCCTTTCCCTCCACTTTTGTATGCACACCAGGGCATTGCTCGATACTCATTCTGACGTTTCGTGGCAACACAATTTGACCTTCCTCAGAGTTCACGGCAAAACATTTTTCAATTATCCTAAGTCGCTAGGTAAATTTAGCATCGTCCTAAAATATCTGGGCAAACTCTCGACAACATCCCAAAATCAGGGTAATTATTATGTTTTACCCTGATATCATTGGGCTTGGAGACCTCTGTTAGAATAGTCATACTATGAGAAGCTGTTGTATTCTTTGGGGTTCTTCGTTAAGCCTAAGAACCTAGGAGCCAACTTGGGCATGAACCATGCTAGAACCTAATGAGTTTCCAAGAAGTGGATTAAGAAGAGTGAATGCATGCTACAAGTTCAACCCAATCAATGTTTTTTACACTAGCAAAACGTAAACTTACTAATTCAAATATGTTTATTGAAGAAAGTCAAATTAACCTCAATCACAACACCCCCCTTTTCTCAAGTAATTATCAAAGTTCACTAAAGAATTGAGACACAACCCTTCTAGTGAATAAAGCCTTGGCCACTTTAGCCATCACTTGCATGCTGCTACGCTCAATGTTTTCATACAGCTGTAGGTTTGGTAAGCATGTCGGCATCCTGGAGGTGAGAGTATACTGACTGCACCTCAACCTCCTACTGGCATAACGTCAAGCCACCTTGATGTGCTTCGTGCGTTGGTGAGAAACTGAATTGTGGGCTAGGGAGGCAGCAGACACATTATCACACAACAATAAAATAGCTTGTTGAAATAGTGAGAAGATTAGGCGCTTGAGTTTAGGAAGCTAGGAGAGCGTCGAGAGAGTTAGAAACGAGAAAGAACGTTTCAATAGAGGGTGGGCCCTAGAATATACGCAAAGGCAAGGGCAAGGGGTGCACCATCAGAAGTAGGTTACAACAATTACACTAGACTATAATATGCAATTCATATGAAACTATATTTTGACACAACCCCTAAATACCCTCGAGCAAGAACCTGTGCAAAAACACCCCTTGAAGGGGTACACTGCTGGATCGCCGCAGGAGCGATAAACGGAGAAATGCGCACTGGAAGATGCAGCGGCAACAGATGCAGCGGCAACAGATGCAGCGCCGACGAGTGCTCTGTGACGGAGGGTGTGGTAGCGGCAGGTGCACAGTGGCAGGTGCTGCAGCGGCAGGTGCAGCGGTTGTAGCAGGCAGCGATGGCATGTTCTTAGCGGTAGTAGGTGCGGCACCTACAGCAGGCAGCAGTGGCAAGTCCTCAGCAGCGGCAGGTGCGGCAACAATAGGCGTGGTGGCGAGGTGCAATGTTGGCAGGTGCCGCAACAGCAGTTGTTCAGTGTCGGCATGAAAAGAGGACGAGGGATGACTAGGAAGGGAGAGAGGGAGAGGAGGAGGAGGAGGAGGAGGAGGAGGGGGAGGAGGAGGAGGGGGAGGAGGAGGAGGAGGAGGAGGAGGAGGAGGAGGAGGAGAGTTACGTAGTGGACAGGAGGGGAGAGAGTCACGGCAGGTGTGGTGGCGGCTGGCACTGCAGGATCCCGGCTGCCACCCCTTACCATCTCCTCCCAATAGAGGTAGCCGCAGCAGGTTGGGCGGCGGCTGGCACTGCAGGCTCACAACCCCGCAGCCCCTCCCCTATAGCGGTAGCCGCGGCTGGGGCACAGCAGGGCAGCGGCAAGGGCGGGATGGGGCTGCGACTGGGGCACAAAGGAAGGGTGCGATGGGGCCATGGATGGGGCGCAATAGGGGCATATTTGGGGCGCGATGGGAGGTCATGATTGGGCTGCTACAGAGGCACGACGGGGCCGTGGCTGAGGCGTGACGGGGGCATGACGATAGGGCGCAGGCAGGGCACGATGAGCAGGGCGCAATGGGGTCGTGGCTGGGCCGTGACAGATCGCACCTGCAACAGCGGGCGTTCGCACCAGACAATAGTGCCAGTAGCAGCAAGGAAGGCCGCCATGGCTAAGAACAGAAGAAAGAAATGTTTTGGGAATAAACCTCTTCTGATAACATATTGAAATTGTGAGAAGATACAGAACTTGAGCTTAGGAAGCTAGGAGAATGTCGAGAGAGTTAGAAATGAGAATGAGGTTTCCAATTTAGGGCTAAGGGCTCGAGAATTGCAAGCAAAGGCAATGGCAAGGGGTGCACCACCAACAATAGGCTATTGCAATTACGCTAGAATAATGCATTAGTCAGTTTATAGAAAATCATTCCTCTTTTTTACATATCCTTCCCATCACCCAAAAAAATGTCACCCAACAAGCTCCTCAACCAAATAACCTCATTGGTACCCTTCGATAGGGCCTTATACTCAGCTTAAGTACTGTTGCAAGCAATATTATCTCGTTTGTTGCTATACAACTGATAGCTCCTCCACCCAACATGAAACTGTAGGCAGAATGACTCTTGCTGTCAGCCTCACCAATCCAATCCAAATTACTGTACCCCACAATCTGCTCACCACCTTGGCGCTCATACCTGATGATAAGATCGGTTGTATCATTCAAGTACCTGACTGCTCAGTGCAGTGTGCATGTGTATGTGCTTTGGTGCAACGCATGACTGTGCAAGGGTGTTGATAGTGAAGGACATGTCAGGACATGTAGTTATTGTATAATACATCAAGCTACCAATAAAACGCTGGTACACTTTGACATCAGCTGAAGCGCTCTCTCACTCGACCAAGTATCTTTCCTAACTTCAGAGTTATCATTGGGTGACATACGAGTACCGTATTCTCTAGGACATAACGCCCTAGGGTATAGCTAAAAATACAGGGAAAAAATGGGGGGGCTCCTCATAGGAAAAAGCTACATAATACCCGGGTGCATATATATGGTATATTTTAGTGTTAGAGTTTTTTTTTTTTTTTTTTTTTTTTTTAGACAACTTGGTTGTTTCTATGGTCGTTTTAACATCATAGGTTGAGGCGCGAATGTGAGTTTCGGCCGCGAACTTCATCACCCCCTTCATGTGGCACCTCAGTGGCCACTTGCCGCGGAAGATTCACCAGCGCGTGGCGACAGTGAAATAGTGGGAGAGGGGAAATCTTGGCAAATTTGAAGTGAAAGTACCGCGAAATTTCATCGAAGGAGAGATTCTCGCGATATCCTCCCGTTCTTGCACCTACTCATTAACAGCTATAATAAGGAATCTGTAAGAAAAGGGGGGTGTTATAAAAAATCATCCAAAAAGGGGGGTATAGTAGAAACGAGGTCGCCCATAGCACCCACCCCGCACAAGCTACCCAAGGGGTGTACAATTTCGGAAGGTGTTTTGTTCGGGAGAATACGGTATGCACTTTATGTGTTCCCCTCAGAAGATCATCAAACCTGACCTGAAGACCACAAACATACTCCTCCTGTCCAAACTCCAACCACCCATTATTGACCGACCTGCAATCCTCCACACTAAGGTATGTGGATACCTCACCCATATCCTGCTACCTGTCAGCAAGCACCTCCGAGACCTAACCGATCAGCTCCAAGCATGGGGGACACGAGCAAGAGGTCATCCACATACTCTTGTAGATAAGTATGCTCCGCATCCACCAGTCTGATGTACAAGACATCATCGCAATCACTGCAGTCAAACCTTGCCGCAATCATGGTGGCACCAGTCTTCTCATTCCATGCACAAGGTGCTCGCTTGAGCCCATAGAGAGCCTTGCACAAGCGATACACTCTACCTGTATCAACATCAAATCCCTTAGACTGCCTCACATACACCTCTTCCTGAAGGACTGCATTGAGATAGGCATGGTCAACATCCCCCTATTGTTCATGCCACCCTTTTAGGGGTCTTCCGCAAGAAGCACTCGACCTAAGGTGAGTAGCCCAGGGGGGCAAATACCTAAGCATGACCCTTCTCAAGCTCCTAAGTGAACCCCTTCGCAACGAGGCGAACGTTGTGATGTACCCTCTTGTTCTCATGGTTAGGTTCTTGCGAAAGATGTACTTGACCCCAATAACCTGCTTACCTGGAAATAAGTCGACCGGCTTTGGATCGCGTACACCCATATGTGCATATCGTTGACCTCCTTCACAACACCTGCTTTCTGATGTAGGGCCCTCAGGGTCGCATATTACCTAAGCCATCTTGTGTGGGACATCACAAGTGCTCACATCTGCTAGTTCAACACCCTTCACCTCCCTGGCAAGATACATCACACCATCAAGCACACCAAGATCCCCCCCACCTCCTCAGCACTTGTACAAGGTCGGACACCAAGCACTTGCAAACCTGTAACCGGTGGTGGGGTAGTAATTGGTGTCATAGGTGCATTTGCAGATAGAGTGACATGACATGACTAGAGGAGGAGGAAGAGGTGGAAGATGGGGTACCGGAGCTCTGCTAAATGACCGAGGGGCTGCTGAGCTGTTGTAGAGGGGCGAGAGGCCACAGCACCGACACACTAAGTGGTGGTGGTGGGTGGTGGGGTGGTGGTGGCGGTGGGTGGTGGTGGTGGGTGGTGGTGGTGGGTGGTGGTGGTGAGTGGTGGTGGTGGGTGGTGGTGGTGGTGGTGGTGGTGGTGGTGGTGGTGGTGGTGGTGGTGGTGGTGGTGGTGGTGGTGGTGGTGGTGGTGGTGGTGGTGGTGGTGGTGGTGGTGGTGGTGGTGTGTGTGGTGGTGGGGTGGGGGTGGTGGGTAGTGGTGGTGGGTGGTGGTGGTGGGTGGTGGTGGTGGGTGGTGGTGGTGGTGGGGTGGGTGGTGTGGTGGGTGGTGGTGGTGGGTGGTGGTGGGGGGTGGTGGGGGGGGTTGGGGGGGGGGGGGAATGGGGGGGTGGTGGTGGGGGTGGTGGGGGGGGTGGTGGTGGTGGTGGTGGTGGTGGTGGTGGTGGTGGTGGTGGTGGTGGTGGTGGTGGTGGTGGTGGTGGTGGTGGTGGTGGTGGTGGTGGTGCCGCTGCATCGACCGTTGCTGAAGGTGGTGAGAATGGAAGAGGGAAGAGCAAGGAAATTTTAGTAGCATCATATAGAAGCTCCAAAGCCCTTAGAGTGTGTCACCTCAGAAGCAGACACCCAAAATTCAAACGACGCCGCATTTTCTCAAGGTTCGAACAATATGTAAAAATCGGGCGAGGTGTTACATTTGATGCGCAGCGGATGCACTCAACCCTTACTTGTAAGCCCCACAGCCGTTACATCCAGCCATCGTCAGAAGGTTCTGATTGCATGACGAAAAAAAACGCAAGAATCGCAAGCTTCATGGTTACTGTTTCGTTTTTATCGCAGGCGTCCCCGGTGCTCATACCCCATAACATTCGAACGACCTCATGTGAACAGCATACGTGAAATGCTTCATGCTGGGTATCAAAGTTCTATGCGATTTAGCTACGTTTTTTTCTCAAGGAAATCAACACCTTGAGCACTGAAAAAGCGCACGAGAGAAGGGTCTAGTACGTGCGCCTGTGGTACGGGCATGGCAGTTGCGGTGGTGGCAGGTACTGGTGGCGGTAGGCGCAGGCGCAAAGACGGCTAGGACGCGGCAGGCGTGGCGGCGAGGGGCACGAGCACGGCAAGCGCAGGCACGAGCATGGCAAGCGCAAGCACGTGCGCAGCAGCCGTGGGCGCCGGTGGCTAGGACAGGCATGGTTTGCATGGCTATGGCGGGCGCGGCTGGCATGGCAAGGGCAGGTGTGACTGACGCAGATGACGCGGCTAGGGAAGGCGCAGTTGGCGTATCTAGGGCAGGCACATCTGGTTCGGCTGGAGCAGCTAGGGCAGGCCCAGCAAGCATGGAAAAATATTACGTGGGGCGTGATGGGGGAAGCTAGAGGGGCGTGAGAAGGGCGTGTTAGGGCGGGGTGCTAGAGGGGTAAGGCGTGTTAGCTAGGGAAGGTTGGGCGGACCGGAGGTCCTAACCTAACTATTACGGGGTAGTTTACTGTTCACGGGTGGTTTACCCTAAACAGTGCCCCAACCCAATCCCAACCTTATCTTCATCCACTCCCTTTGGGATTTCCTTGATTTCTCAACCGCCACGTGGCACTCTACTTTTCTAACATTCCATTTCCTTGTCCCACAAACTGCTTTCCAACAATCGCTCTTGCATGCTACTTAAACCTTGTTTGTATTCCCCATTTTCAACCAATTATCATTCAACTTTTAAATTACTCAGTAACTTCTTCGTCTATTTCGCCAATAGTTCTTTCGCCAAAGTCTTCCGCCGCGTTTCATCCTCGACTTAGTCGACCCCGCTAATTCTTTAGCGGACTTAGGCCAGCGGGCCTAACACTTGGTATCAGAGCCTTCGCGGGGAGCGACTTCCAACGAGCGACCGTCGACGACGAGACTACGACGTCATCGTCCCGCGGTGCCGACTTGCAGACTTGGAGTCGTCGAGCGAACATGGACGAAACCATGCACGCTCTCCCCCACGACATGGGCAATACGCTCACACTTACCAACCTCATGCGCCAACTCGAATAGTTGACGTTGGAAAATCGTCACGTACGAGCCGAAATGCAACAGCTTCGCAATTTGGCTTCTAACCCCCATGGTCATGCCGCACCAACTCCTGCACCCACCACGTCGACTGGCGCGGAAGCGCTGCCGGAACGTCGAAGCGCGCTCAAGCCGCAGAAGCCCGAGTCGTTCGACCCAAGTCAACGCGACGCGAACGTGCGGACGTGGCTCTTCATGCTCAACAACTACTTCGCCGCGAGCGGGGTGCAAGAGGCGGACGCGCAGCAGCGGATCGAGTACGCCGTAACGCTGCTGAGGGGCCCGGCCTTGGAGTGGTGGCGCCAACTTACGCAGACTGCTGTACGGAGGGTTCAGTTTAACGGGCATCAACAGGGCGTGGGACATGCAGCTGCAACTTCGAGCTTAGGGAGTTTAGCTTTGGGTGTTACCACGGTTCTTGAGCATCTGCAACGAGATCGACGATATCACGGAAGCAGAGATGCGCGATCGCTACCTCGAAGGGTTGAAGCCGAACATACCGGAGATCATAACCATACACGGGTTGTCCACCTTCGGGTCAGTTGTCGCAGCACCAGAACGCGTCGACGCAGTACGAAGCCGACGGGGTCGTGACGATCGCGATAGGGGATACAACAGACCGATCAACGACGCTCGATCGAGGGACAAACCATCGCCCATGGAGATTGGTGCAGTTAACAGTGACGGCTCACAGCGCAGCGGTTTCTGGGGGAACTGTCACTACTGCAAAAAGCCGGGTCACATGAAGCGGGACTGCCCACAGTTCAAGGAGCGGCAGCAGAAAAACGGAAACCACCTGTAGTTAGAGGGTCGCTAGCTGGTGTGCAGGTTCCCGTACCCGCCACGTCTACCAACGTAGAGGAGACGGCCTTGCAGCAGTCATCTACGGAGAACGGGGTAGACACTGTTGACCGACCAGTCGTATTTCTAGGGAAGCTTCGCGAAATTTCTGTCAAGATTCTCGTAGATAGTGGAGCTAGCCACTCATTCGTATCTTCATCGCTAGTTAGTCGTCTCCATCTCGAAGCAGATTTGGCGGTCAATTTCAAGGACGCTCGCATGGTAGATGGGACGCCACTCCACATAGGACCAATCATTCGCAAGTTGCGCGTAGTGCTAGGACCGATCACAGTTAGATGTGACTTCGACTCTGCGACACTGGACGGCTAAGACTTCATCTTCTGTAGAGAATGATTGCGGACGGTTTCGACTCAGTTCGATTGGGCTCAGGGAAGCTGCAGCGTCAAGGTAGACGGGTCAGGCGTTTCGGGAGCTGCCACAGTGGAGCGATGGGGCCACATCATCCACAGCTATCATCAATGTTGTTCGTGTGCGACAGTTGGTGAAGCGAGCGGCACGGATCTTTGTAGTCTTCCTTGAGGAGGTTGAAGCAGATGAGGGGAAAGGAGGGAACGCAGCAGTTAGTGAGAACACGACTCTTCCTGCTAAAGTGAGTGCACTGTTAGCAAAGTTTGCAGACATCTTCCCGGACGAATTGCCCCCAGGGTTACCTCCCAGCCGAGCAGTAGACCATCGGATAGAGTTAGAGCCGGGGAGCAGGCCAGTAGCGAAGCCGCAGTGGAGGTTGAGTCCAGCAGAGACAGAGGAGATGACGCAGCAGGTTAGGCACTTTCTCGCACAGGGGTTTATACAACCACCTAGGTCGCCTTAGGCAGCACCGATCCTCTTTGCGCCTAAGAAAGACGGAGGGTTACGGATGTGCATCGATTACTGCGCACTGAACGCCGCCACCGTCAAGAATAGGTTCCCAGTACCATGAATAGAGGATCTTCTAGATGCAGTACAGGGCGCTAGAGTCTTTTCCAAGATCGACCTTCGTTCGGGTTACCACCAGATTCGCGTAGTTCCAGAGGACCAGCACAAGACGGCGTTTCGTACGAAGCAGGGGTTGTACGAGTTTAGGGTTCTACCGTTCGGACTGACCAACGCCCCAGCGACGTTCCAGACGCTTATGAACATCGTCCTGTTCGAGTTCCTGGGTTCGTTCGTCATAGTTTACTTAGACGACATCCTCATCTTCTCCAAGACAAAAGAGGAGCACGTGCAGCACTTGCAGAGGGTCTTTGAGGTCTTGCGGAATGAGAAGTTGTACGCGAAGCAGTCGAAGTGCGAGTTCTTTCTCCCCGAGGTCGAGTTCCTAGGACACGTCGTATCCGCTAGTGGCATTAGGACCGACCCGAAGAAGATCGCAGCCGCACTGGATTGGGTGGCACCGACCTCAGTCAAGGGACGCGGGTTGCAGCCGATCGCATACAAGTCGCGTAAGCTTAGGGGGGCATAGCTGAACAGTCCAATCCATGACAAGGAGGCGCTCCGTGCGTATAAGGTGTGGAGGTGCTACCTAGAGGGGGCAGATAGTGTTATATGTACGGACCATTGCTTGCTTCGCTTTCTCAAGTCGCAGCCACAGCTGTGTCGTCGCCAGGCTAGATGGATGGAGTTCATGGAGGGGAGTTTCCACTACAGGATAGAGTACAAGCCAGGCGTTCGCAACCCAGCAGATCCGCTCACTCGCCCTAGTTGCCAGCTCGCTAGCCTCACAGTCACTACCGACCATCCACTTCTCACAGCACTCTTCGAGCACGGTTACACAGTAGATCCAGATCTCACAGCACAGCCGCCCGCAGGAGCAGAGGTGCAGGGTAGTGTCTACATATAGAAGGTTACAGCACGGATTTGGGTTCCAGCCTACCGCCCTCTTCGACAGCTCCTTCTTTTTGAGGCGCACGATGTAGTTAGAGCAGGTCACTTCGGAGCAGATAAGACGGCTAAGACGCTTAGTCGCACGTACTACTGGCCAGGGCTTGCAGCAGACGTAGAGGATTATATTCGCTCGTGCGACACGTGTCAGCGTACGAAGTCCTCTCGCCAGCGCAAAGCAGGACTTTTGCAGCCGATTCCACCGCCCGACCGCCCTTGGCAGGTAGTTACCATAGATATCATCATGGCTTTACCACGCACAGTTAGGGGCCACGACGCCATCTTCGTTGTAGTCGACAAGTTCTCTCAAGCAACGCACTTCATCCGGGAGAATACGGTAGTCTTTCACCAAAGTCTTCCGCCGCGTTTCATCCTCGACTTAGTCGACCCTGCTACCATAATCACTCGGACATACCACCCGCCGAAATTGAACACCCCCCGGGTGGCTTGTGCGGGGTGGGTGCTATAGCGGACCTCGTTTCTACTATACCCCCCTTTTGGGCCGATCCGGTATAAGACCCGGGGGGGGTGTTTTGTACGGAAAAAAATGTTGTTTTCGCCTAAATTTTGCGCAGGGACGTGACCGCACCAGCGAGGCTGCTAAGCCTGTTGCGGGACTCCCGCCTCTGTGACTGCATGAATCCTCGTCGAGCGACGGGGGGTGTGTTTTCGACCAATCAGGGCATGACAGAGGGCCTGTTGGAGCTTGCAATGTGGCAGCTTCCACTCGAGGCTAAGGGCGTGTGCACTAGGGGTTCGAACTTCTGTCTAAGTTTGAACTTTTAGCGAGGTTCTACTCGGTGCAAAGCGGTGAATGTTCGAACTTTGACAAATTTCGCCCAAAGTGCACACGCCCTAACGTTATCGCCTCATCCTCGGTTTTGCGCACCCAACCAACAATCTACCACCGCAGCAAGCATGTACATTTTGTTCCCAACCGTTTCTGCTTTCAAAAAAATGTACATTTTTTTAAAGACCTGGGTGTTATGTAGCTTTTTCCCATGACAAGACCCCCCCCCCCCCCCCCCCCCCTTTTTTTGATGTAGTTATCATAGCACCCTAGGGTGGTATGTCCGGGTGATTACGGTAATTCTTTTGCGGACTTAGGCCAGCGGGCCTAACATAACGATGATGCCTTGTCAAATTTGAGAAAATGGCTAAGAGCATATGGTGGGGTACCTGAAATATTCTATACCCTCTGGTGCACTTCATGAATATATCCCTAGATGTTACAGTCGGGGTGCACTAAGAATAATTCAAACTTGTGCACCCACCACTTTCTTCATGATTTTTACACAGCACCCAGGGTCTACTAAATGAGGGAATACAGTACTTGGTTTGGTGGATGTCCTCCATACGGTGGGGATAGTTGCAATTTGTTGTATGGTTACAACGAATGGCACAACATCATGCGACCCTGCTAAATACAGTAACTATTTATCATCCTTCAACCATGACTAATTTTACATTCAAGATACGGTACGCTAGTACCGTTATCACCCGGACATACCACCCGCCGAAATTGAACACCCCCCGGGTGGCTTGTGCGGGGTGGGTGCTATAGCGGACCTCGTTTCTACTATACCCCCCTTTTGGGCCGATCCGGTATAAGACCCAGGGGGGGTGTTATGTACGGAAAAAAAAAGCTGTTTTCGCCTAAATTTTGCGCTGGGACGTGACCGCACCAGCGAGGCTGCTAAGCCTGTTGCGGGACTCCCGCCTCTGTGACTGCATGAATCCTCGTCGAGCGACGGGGGGTGTGTTTTCGACCAATCAGGGCATGACAGAGGGCCTGTTGGAGCTTGCAATGTGGCAGCTTCCACTCGAGGCTAAGGGCGTGTGCACTAGGGCAGGCCCCACGATATCAGGGCAAAACATCCTGATTACCCTGAATTCAGGATGCATATTTGAATTTGCCCTGCAATTTCAGAATAGTGACACTTCTAACCCTGAGCTCTCAGGATGTTATTATATGAAATGCCCTGGAAAATCAGGATGGCTGTGGTGTTCTTCCCTGCAGCGTCAGGCTGAATGTCGAGGTTCGCCCTGACGCGGTTTTTTTTCCACGGGGGGGGGGGGGGGGGGGGGTATTGTTTCCCGGGAAATTGTTCCCCGGAAAATTTTCCCCCGCGGATTGCTTTCCCCGTGTATTTTCCCGCTTTCGCGACCCCCTTGCACTTCCGACCCTGCGCAACGCACCAACCAAACGCATCAGATGGGGGAAACAGTGAACACTCCCAACTCGTCGTGTGCCATGCTGCTATGCTCTGCTCGGCTCTGCTCAGCAAAGTCTGGTCTGGTCTGTGCTGAAATCTGAACCCTGAACAGAGGTTTTTTTTGCCCTGACAGGTCAGGATTAATGTCTGTAGAAGCCTTGAACATACAAGAAGGCCCCGAAAATTTGCCCTGACAAATCAGGGCATTTTAAAAGATTTTAGAAAAGTGCCCTGAGGCCTCAGGATGCCCCAATTCCTAGCACGGGCCTTGCACTAGGGGTTCGAACTTCTGTCTAAGTTTGAACTTTTAGCGAGGTTCCACTCGGTGCAAAGCGGTGAATGTTCGAACTTTGACAAATTTCGCCCAAAGTGCACACGCCCTAACGTTATCGCCTCATCCTCGGTTTTGCGCACCCAACCAACAATCTACCACCGCAGCAAGCATGTACATTTTGTTCCCAACCGTTTCTGCGTTTAAGAAAATGTACATTATAAAAAGACCCGGGTGTTATGTAGCTTTTTCCCATGACAAGACCCCCCCCCCCCCCCTTTTTTTGATGTAGTTATCATAGCACCCTAGGGTGGTATGTCCGGGTGATTACTGTATGGTTCAAAATTTGTAAACTTGGTCCTTTCTGTATCCGAGAGTTTTCAAGAGGCCATCCAGCTGCAATGGGAGAGGGAAGATGGGAGGAAATGCAAAGAGGAGAAAAATCTGAGTGCTCCCCTTATCTAGTCAAGAAGCCGCACTTACCAAGCATTCACATCACATGCATTTATTATTGAATGATAATTAGCGGTCAAGGAATGCATAGAACGTACGGTATCAAATGCAAATTCACTGTGCATAAAAGTTTTTATGAACTAGATCGCGAATTTGAAAAGAGGTGAACTTGCACATCAATCAAAGCATAAGCCCATGCGCAAAACAGCCAGTTACCGAATACGCCTATATGTGGGGGACTACTGTACCACAGCATTGCACTGCTCTGGGGGCACACTCATGAGTGACATTTTCTCAAGTGCCTTAAGATTAGTGTCAGCTGCCCCCGTGGCTGTCCCCCACTCACCTCCTGCGACTCACCTCCCCCGCGACTCACCTCCCCCTGCGACTTGTCGGGTGCCTTGTCACCTGACACGTGGCGCATCATGCCAGGTGGCCCACACACCTGCATGCACTCCATGCATGGCGCAGTGCAGCCACACAGGGTGAGTGAGGTGCAGCCACACGGGGTGAGTGAGGTGCCATCACACGGAGTGAGTGAGAGGCGTGGCAGGAAGGGGCAGGGCAACGGGGGCAATGCTGCGAACCCAGCCACCCAGTGGGGACAAGGTGATGTGCTGCCATGAGAAAAGGTGATCTGATATGATGTGATGTGTGATGGAATATGATATGATGTGATGTGATGTGTGATGGAATATGATATGATGTGATGTGATGTGTGATGGAATATGATATGATGTTATGCAATGTGAGTGATGAGATGCGATGCCATGCCATGCCATCTCATCCATTGCCATGCCGTGCATGCCGTGCCATGCAGCAGGGCCCTCACGAGCACGAGGGAGTCGGGGGACGGTGGGGGCAGCGCCTTGCGCAGCACGTCAGCCGCGATGAACCCCTCCCCGCCCTTCCATGCCGCCCCCGCCTCCACACGGTCCACCATGAAGTACACCTGCTCCGCGTGGGGGGTTGTGGCAGATGTGGAGGGATGCGGGGATAACGGGGGAGGCGTATGGAGTGCGAAGGTGGTGTGCAGGGGTGGTGGCAGGGGTGGTGGCAGGGGTGGTGGCAGGGGTGGTGGCAGGGGTGGTGGCAGGGGTGGTGGCAGGGGTGGAGGCAGGGGTGGAGGCAGGGGTGGTGGCAGGGGTGGTGGCAGGGGTGGTGGCAGGGGTGGTGGCAGGGGTGGTGGCAGGGGTGGTGGCAGGGGTGGTGGCAGGGGTGGTGGCAGGGGTGGTGGCATGGGTGGTGGCAGGGGTGGTGGCATGGGTGGTGGCATGGGTGGTGGCATGGGTGGTGGGAGGGGTGGTGGCATGGGTGGTGGCATGGGTGGTGGCATGGGTGGTGGCATGGGTGGTGGCATGGGTGGTGGCATGGGTGGTGGCATGGGTGGTGGCATGGGTGGTGGCAGGGGTGGAGGCGCGGCACAGGGGCGATGCAGTGCGGAGCAGAGATGGTGATGCGGGCAACGAGAGGAGAGGGAGGAGGGTGTGCCAAGACGAGAGGGAGTGAGAGCATGCGGGTGAGTGAGAGCATGCGGGTGAGTGAGAGCATGCGGGCGGGTGAGTGAGGGTGGAGAGGAAGATGGGTGGAAAGTTGAGCATAGAACAACATGAGGGTGAGGAGTAGTGGGGGTGGGGAGTAGTGGGGGTGGGGAGTAGTGGGGGTGGGGAGAGGGGGCGGCATGCCTTGAAGTTGGGGTGCGAGGCAGCAAGGGCGCGCAGCTGATCAGCCAGAAGGATGTCGGCCGGTGAGGTGTTGGCGAACACCAGCGACACCTGCCAGGGGACGCATGGCATGGCATAGCATGGCATGGCATGGCATGGCATGGCATGGCATGGCATGGCATGGCAGGCACGCGAGTGATGCGCAGCGCAGGAGGCACGGTCCAGGGAATCAAGAAGTTGAGGAGAAAGGGGAATACATGGAATGCAAGAGAAGGGGAGTGGTTGACGGCAAGGTCGTGGTGGTGGTTGAGGGCAATGTGGCTTGCGTGGCCAATCACCACGATGCTTGTTGGGGGCTCGAGCACAAAAGGGTGGGTGGGCACCCCAACACAATTGCACGCCCAGCGTGGCGTGGCGTACATGCCCAACCCCTCCACGCTGCACCCCATCTGCTGCTGCTCTACCAACGCCATGCTGCTCAGCGCCTGGGCAAGGCCATGGTGGTCAGCGCCTGGGCGAGGCCATGGTGGTCAGCGCCTGGGCGAGGCCATGGTGCTCAGCGCCTGGGCGAGGCCATGGTGCTCAGCGCCTGGGCGAGGCCATGGTGGTCAGCGCCTGGGCGAGGCCATGGTGGTCAGCGCCTGGGCGAGGCCATGGTGGTCAGCGCCTGGGCGAGGCCATGGTGGTCAGCGCCTGGGCGAGGCCATGGTGCGCACCTGCGTGTGGTCGTTGGGGTTGGAGAGGATGGCATCGATGACCTGCAGCATAGGCGTTATGCCCGTCCCCCCCGCCACCTGCCATGCAGGTGCGCCATGGGTTGAAGCGAGGGAGGGAGGGAGGGAGAGGGGATACGGAAACATGGGCAGCAGGGAGGACGGCAGGAGGCAAGAGGGGAAGTTGGAGAGAAGCGAGTTGGTGGGGTTGGAATGTGGCAGGAATGGTGGGTGCAAGACATTGGGGTGGAAATGGGAATGGGGGAGGGGGCGAGGGAGAGACAGGAGAGTTGAGAAGCATCTCACCATGCCCCCATGTGCTCGTAAATTATCCCATCCCACCATGCCCCCATCCCACCATGCCCCCACCTACCATGCCAATGCTGCGCTTCATGTTGGGCTGGTAGGGCAGCTTCGGAATGGGGCTGCACGACGGGGCACACACACGCATGCGCGATTGCCAAGGGGGGAAGGGAAGGGGAAGGGGAGGACGAGACGGGAAAATGATTGGGTAGAGGGATGGAGGGGAGAAGGCGGTACGGTGCAAGGGAGCACATGAGAGGCCATCTTAGAGAAGAGAGCAACGAGCTGTCCGATGGACACAACAACATGGTCTCTCTCTTCAATCCTGAAGCACCTTTTCATATCCCTTCGTTTCAGCACCACTGTCTTTACGGTCAGCTGCAGCACATGTACTCTCACCCCCTCCTTTTAAACAAATGTGTGCAGTGCTCTCACCCCTTCATTTCAAGCACATGCGCTCTCACCCCTTCATTTCAAGCACATGAGCTCTCACGCCTTCATTTCAAGCACATGCGCTCTCACCCCTTCATTTCAAGCACATGCGCTCTCACCCCTTCATTTCAAGCACATGCGCTCTCACCCCTTCATTTCAAGCACATGCGCTCTCACCCCTTCATTTCAAGCACATGCGCTCTCACCCCTTCATTTCAAGCACATGAGCTCTCACGCCTTCATTTCAAGCACATGCGCTCTCACCCCTTCATTTCAAGCACATGCGCTCTCACCCCTTCATTTCAAGCACATGCGCTCTCACCCCTTCATTTCAAGCACATGCGCTCTCACCCCTTCATTTCAAGCACATGCGCTCTCACCCCTTCATTTCAAGCACATGAGCTCTCACGCCTTCATTTCAAGCACATGCGCTCTCACCCCTTCATTTCAAGCACATGCGCTCTCACCCCTTCATTTCAAGCACATGCGCTCTCACCCCTTCATTTCAAGCACATGCGCTCTCACCCCTTCATTTCAAGCACATGCGCTCTCACCCCTTCATTTCAAGCACGTCGCCTGGCTTGAGGGAGAACATGTGCTGACTCATCTTGCCGTTGGGGTACACCTGCAGGCAGGGAGGGAGGGAGAGAGGCAGCAATGCAATAAAGAAAGAATGGGTGGTAAGGAATGGGTATGGGAGGCAGGAAACATGCACATGGTTGCCCACACCCACACACTCGCCACACGCACACATATGCACACACAAACAAATACATACACGCACGCACGCACTCGACAGGCGCACACGCACGCGCGCGCGCACACACACACACACACACACACACACCCGCACGCACACACACACACCCCTGCACACACAGATGGCACATACAAAATCCCTAGCCCTACTTTGCACCCCACCCACCACCCCTCGAGAATGTGCATTCACTCGACACACCGCGCCTCGAAAGGACGGCTTGACGGTCTGTTCGCTGGCTGCTGGGCTTAGGGTTGCTGGGCTTAGGGTTGCTGGGCTTAGGGTTGCTGGGCTTAGGGTTGCTGGGCGTCCCAGCACACGGCTTGTCTGTGGCGCGTCCCAGCACACGGCTTGTCTTCAGCTTTGGGCGATGAAGTCACAGCGTAGATTGCAAGGACGCCCACAGGGACCAGCCACGAGGTGGCATGCTCAGTGGGTCAGCCCGTGCAGTCACCTTGACTAGCAGGTCGAAGTGCCCCGTGACGTCCGGCGAAGTGATGGGCGTGTACCTGATGATGGTGATGATGGTGCCGTCACCCAGCCACGCACGCATGCCATGGCATCAAGGCATGGAGGCATGGTGGCATGGTGGCATGGTGGCATGGTGGCATGGTGGCATGGTGGCATGGTGGCATGGTGGCATGGTGGCATGGTGGCATGGTGGCATGGTGGCATGGTGGCATGGTGGCATGGTGGCATGGTGGCATGGTGGCATGGTGGCATGGTGGCATGGTGGCATGGTGGCATGGTGGCATGGTGGCATGGTGGCATGGTGGCATGGTGGCATGGTGGCATGGTGGCATGGTGGCATGGTGGCATGGTGGCATGGTGGCATGGTGGCATGGTGGCATGGTGGCATGGTGGCATGGTGGCATGGTGGCATGGTGGCATGGTGGCATGGTGGCATGGTGGCATGGTGGCATGGTGGCATGGTGGCATGGTGGCATGGTGGCATGGTGGCATGGTGGCATGGTGGCATGGTGGCATGGTGGCATGGTGGCATGGTGGCATGGTGGCATGGTGGCATGGTGGCATGGTGGCATGGTGGCATGGTGGCATGGTGGCATGGTGGCATGGTGGCATGGTGGCATGGTGGCATGGTGGCATGGTGGCATGGTGGCATGGTGGCATGGTGGCATGGTGGCATGGTGGCATGGTGGCATGGTGGCATGGTGGCATGGTGGCATGGTGGCATGGTGGCATGGTGGCATGGTGGCATGGTGGCATGGTGGCATGGTGGCATGGTGGCATGGTGGCATGGTGGCATGGTGGCATGGTGGCATGGTGGCATGGTGGCATGGTGGCATGGTGGCATGGTGGCATGGTGGCATGGTGGCATGGTGGCATGGTGGCATGGTGGCATGGTGGCATGGTGGCATGGTGGCATGGTGGCATGGTGGCATGGTGGCATGGTGGCATGGTGGCATGGTGGCATGGTGGCATGGTGGCATGGTGGCATGGTGGCATGGTGGCATGGTGGCATGGTGGCATGGTGGCATGGTGGCATGGTGGCATGGTGGCATGGTGGCATGGTGGCATGGTGGCATGGTGGCATGGTGGCATGGTGGCATGGTGGCATGGTGGCATGGTGGCATGGTGGCATGGTGGCATGGTGGCATGGTGGCATGGTGGCATGGTGGCATGGTGGCATGGTGGCATGGTGGCATGGTGGCATGGTGGCATGGTGGCATGGTGGCATGGTGGCATGGTGGCATGGTGGCATGGTGGCATGGTGGCATGGTGGCATGGTGGCATGGTGGCATGGTGGCATGGTGGCATGGTGGCATGGTGGCATGGTGGCATGGTGGCATGGTGGCATGGTGGCATGGTGGCATGGTGGCATGGTGGCATGGTGGCATGGTGGCATGGTGGCATGGTGGCATGGTGGCATGGTGGCATGGTGGCATGGTGGCAGGACGAGTGGTGACAGAAGAAAGAAGAAATGAAGATATAAGGACGAGGTGAGAGCAGGTGGCGGCATGATGAGTGGATGCAGGGGCAGCGAGTGAGTGTGCCCGTGCGTGCCGCGGCGAGCGCATGCTTCAGCAAGGGGTGTTACGAGGACTGCTGGTCATGCTACTTGTGCACCTCTGCGAGGAGAGACCTGATGACAAAACAATTGCAGAGTGTAGTTGAGTGGAGGGGAGTGGAGGGGAGTGGAGGGGAAGGGGATGGAGGGTAGAGGGTGTCTCACGGTCGAATGACAGCTTTGGGCTTCCCGTCGTCCCCCGGTGGCCCGATGGGCGCCCTGCCGTGATGATGGTGGTGCAGCAGTGGGATGCAGCGTTGGGGCGATAGGGATGAGCATGAGGGATGGCTTCGAGTAGATTTGCAGCACGTGAGTATGGCGCTCGAGCATGACCGGCAGATATGTCACTTGTTAACACAGCAGTCCCAGGAGCACATACGCGACTAAAATGCCGTATACAGATATAATACTCGAATTTACTTGAATTCTGTTCATCCAGTCACCTGGTAACGAGGCAAGCAGCATGCATGCATGTCACCTGGTAACGAGGCATGACGCCACTGTGAGGCCGAGACGCGTGTCGGGGTCCAGAGCAAAGCTGGTGGGGCAGGGAGGACGGGAGGGCGCCGAGGAGGGGGGAGCAGGGAGGGAGGGAGATGGAGAGGGAAGAGCAAAGAGGATATGTGCAGGAAGAGCGAAGAGGGGCAGACGGAAAGATGGATTGGTGAGAGCGAACGTCCCTGCCATGTGTGACACCCACAGGCTTCTGCACTCTCACGGCATAGAGGCGAGCATAGAGGCATAGAGGCGAGCATAGAGGCGAGCATAGAGGCATAGAGGCGAGCATGCACACACATGCAGAGGCTCACCGGAATATCCTCGTGTTGTGGCTGATCTCCTGCACCTGCTGCAGCCGGAACGCCACAAACTGCTGCGGGTTCAGCGCTGCCGCCCACCCATGTGAGCCCGTGGGCAGTGGGAAGGCGGAAAGGGGAGGGCGGTAGGAGACGCACCAAGGGACGAAAGAACACTTGAGAGGGCAAATGTGAGAGCGGGGGAAGAGTCGTTATGAAAGGCGTTAGGGAGGACGGGCATGTGGGGTGAGTGAGTGTGAGTGCAGGCAATTGGCGAATGTTTGAATCCTTGCAGCATGTGCCATGCATGGCGCTGCGCCACACACCACTTGCCTGCCTTGGGCGCCGCCTCGCAGTTTGCCCAGCCAGACGAGCCCTGGCGGGGCGAGGTCGGGGAGACGAGTGGGGGGGAAGATAACGGGTAAAGCGAAGGCGGTGTGTGGGGGGCATGGGATGGGGATGGGGATGGGGATGGGCGAGCATGGATGGCAGCGATGGCGCAGCACACGTGGGATGGGAGAAGGGGGATCGGGGTGAGAGGGGCAAGACGGGGCGCTACTGAAATCCGTGGCAAAGAGTTTGGGTGAAGAGAAGCATACTGGTCTCATCCCGCTCATTCACAGAAGCAGGCAGGCAGGCATGCAGGCAGGCAGGCAGGCAGGCAGGCAGGCAGGCAGGCAGGCAGGCAGGCAGGTAGGCAGGCAGGCAGGCAGGCGGGCAGGCAGGCAGGCAGGCAGGCAGGCAGGCAGGGGGGCAGGCGGAGAGAAAGGGACACCGAATCCTGATCTCATCGCTTGTCACCCGCTGCGCGCCTCGCCGCTGCGGCCCTGGCCTCACCTCCGCGCCAGCATCGGCGAACGACGAAGCCGCGGCGGAAGCTGCGAGGGCGGCCGCGCCAGCCGTCACCAGGTACCGCCGCGACGACGACGCGCCCGCCCGTCCGGCGGCGTCCGCACGATCGACGTCGTCGGCGCGGCCAGCGAGGGGCGAGGTGAGCGGCGCGGGGGCGAGGTGCGTGGCGAGCACGCGCAGCCTGTCCGCCGCGCAGCGACGCTCTGCGAGGCCGCGGAGAAGCAGGAGAGCGCGCATGGCGGAGGACGGTGGGCGAGCAGCGAGGGATTGCAGCGTGACGGCGGTGAATGGATGAAAAAGGTGGCGTGACAGATGGTGGCTGTGTGGAGTGAGGCCGACGTCAGGTTGTACACTATCTTACACATTTACAGTTATTGTATCATGGCTCCGGACGGTTCCAAACGGTGGAAAGCGGTTGTCAAGGTTTACCGTTCTGCACCGTTACGAAGCGAATTCGACCGCAGAGAGCGTAAAAAAAACTTGTACAAACCGACCTCGCCTGAAGGATGGTGGGGTGGAGAAGAAGCCGATTCTGGTTCAAGCATCTTCAATATGCGATGCCTCACGATGCCCCTAGTGTACCAGAGTATCCGCTGTACAAATGAAATAGTGTAAATAAGGCTACTTATGCTCTATGTTTCCATGGTGTACGTGCTGCACAAAACCATATCTAGTGACTAGATGACTACAGTAGTTATTTCTAACAGCTCTCACCCCTCGAACGCCCCTTCATTTATATGGACGTATCAAGGCCTCTGTCGGAGTAGTTTTTAGACATAATCCGCACCGTTGAGATAACGAACAACGAACATAACGAACATATTTTTCTCCGCAGTAGTGTGTTGAGTATTTGGAAGGGACAGATCTTGTGTAGGACGAAAATAGGAAACGTTCTGGCTGAAAATAGGACGCCGTTTGTGCCTCACCTGCATTTCCGCGAGTAGGAGCTTCTCTATCGTGAGATCTTTCACTTGGAACGTGCGCTCGTCGTCGCATCGTGTTATCGCGGCATCGCGTCATCTGCGGGTCACAATGAGCGCGCAGGCACCCAACCCCCAAGCGCTGCTCGTACGCTCACTCTTCGCCCGCCCTGCAGTTTTCGCTGCTGGCTGTGGCTCGACCGCTGTGCTGGCTGACCTCTCATGTCGTCGCCATGCTTCCGCTGCTCGCCCCCTCCGTTCCGCTGTCCGTCCCTCTGTTCACCGCCATGCCGCTGGCTCTGGTGCACCGCCCCTCGTTACAATCGCACTCACTTTGGCGATTGTGATACTAGAGTGTGGAAGAGGCAGCACCTCTCGTTCTCTGTGTTCCATTCCATTCCATCCCTCACATCTCTTTGATCATGTGATTGGCCCCGACAGTGGTCACCGGGCACCCCTCTTCTCGCCCTCCACGTTCCGCGCCGCATCCCTCTCCCCCCACTTCCCCCCTTCCCCCACCCTTTCCCCCCACCCCAAGGGCCGCGCGGCGCTGAGCGGGTTCACGCGGCTGTCCAAGGGGCTGGCGGCGGTGCTGCTGATGGGCTACGTGGTGTCGCTGCTGCCGTCCACGCACACCGCCTTCGCGCTGCTGCCCGGCAGGCAAGTGCCGCCCGCACAGGCAGGCTGCGCGGCGGTCGGGCGCCGCTCTTTCAGCCGCACATGTGAACGACTTTGGCATATCGCCCTGCTGTGCTCACACATGTTGGCCCTCTCCTCTCCCTGCGTCCTCTCCTCTCCCTGCGTCCTCTCCTCTCCCTGCGTCCTCTCCTCTCCCTGCGTCCTCTCCTCTCCCTGCGTCCTCTCCTCTCCCTGCGTCCTCCCTTCACCGTCATGCCATGCCATGCGCGTGCAATGCAAGCTCTCAGCGGGCTTCCCCCCTCCCCCAACCATCACCACCTCCGTCACTCGCTCCCATGCTCCGTTCGTCGCCCCCCTGCGTGCGCGCAGGACCATCCCGTTCGCGTGGAATCTCGTCACGGCGGGCCTCTTCGAGCGCCATCTCTTCACCGTGAGTGCAACGCCCGCCACCTCACACCAAGGGTTCAAGGCCATTCGCCGCACCTCGATAACATGCGCGTTTGACCAATCCAGTGGGCAGTGGGGCGTTGTAGTGAGCGCCGTCTCTTTCACTGTGAGAAACTCAAGATGCTGTGAATGTGATGCCAACACTGCGCCATCGCTTCACTGTAAGGCGAATGCAGTGTCCTGTCTGTAGAGTTTGGATGGAATCTGCTGCACGTTCAGATCCAGCTTGTTCTGGGCGGCACCAGTCGGCTCTGCGCACTGCTTCACCCTTTCCTCGCCCCGCGCCCCTCCACCCGCGCCCCTCCACCCGCGCCCCTCCACCCGCGCCCCTCCACCCGCGCCCCTCCACCCGCGCCCCTCCACCCGCGCCCCTCCACCTGCCCTTGCCCCTCCACCCCCTCCGGCGTTGCGGTGTGCAGCTGGTGCCGGACGTGGCAGCGCTGCTGTTCCTGGGGCGGCTGCTGGAGCCGGTGTGGGGGTCGCGCGAGTTCCTGCGCTTCGTGCTGATCGTGAGCACGCTCACCACCGTGTGCACCTTCATCGCCATGGTCACCGCCTACTACTTCACCTTCCACGGCTACTTCCTGTGAGCCCCACCACCGCTCCTGCTTGTGAAGAAGGGAGCACAGCAGCGCGCGTGACGTGTCGCAGCGTAGAGCTGTGCCGCGCATGAGCCGTACCACATGAGCCGGACCACATGAGCCGTACCACATGAGCCGTACCACATGAGCCGTACCACATGAGCCGTACCACATGAGCCGTACCACATGAGCCGTACCACATGAGCCGTACCACATGAGCCGTACCACATGAGCCGTACCACATGAGCCGTACCACATGAGCCGTACCACATGAGCCGGACCACATGAGCCGTACCACATGAGCCGTACCACATGAGCCGGACCACGTGAGCCGTACCACATGAGCCGTACCACATGAGCCGTACCACATGAGCCGTACCACATGTGCCGTACCACATGTGCCGTACCACATGAGCCGTACCACATGAGCCGTACCACATGAGCCGTACCACATGAGCCGTACCACATGAGCCGTACCACATGAGCCGTACCAAATGAGCCGTACCACATGAGCCGTACCACATGAGCCGTACCACATGAGCCGTACCACATGTGCTGTACCACATGAGCCGTACCACATGAGCCGTACCACATGAGCCGTACCACATGAGCCGTACCACAGGAGCCGTACCACATGAGCCGTACCACATGAGCCGTACCACATGAGCCGTACCACATGAGCCGTACCACATGTGCCGTACCACATGAGCCGTACCACATGAGCCGTACCACATGAGCCGTACCACATGAGCCGTACCACATGAGCCGTACCACATGAGCCGTACCACATGAGCCGTACCACATGAGCCGTACCACATGAGCCGTACCACATGAGCTGCCTTCCATTGTGGGCTGCCAGGCCTTCATCATCTGGTGGGGACGACACACCTCCGCCGCCTCACTTGTGCCTTGCCATCCCCCCCGCACAACCCCCACCCTCTCTCCCCCCACCTCCACTCCCCCCCCCCCCCCCTGGCGTGCGCAGGTACGAGCCGATATCGGGGTTCCACGGGGTGGTGGCGGGGCTGCTGGTGGGCGTGAAGCAGCTCATGCCGGAGCACGACATCACCGTCGCCTATGTCCTCAAGTTCCAAGCCAAGGTGTGTCGCACCCCTTGCTGCACGTGCGGGTGGCACAGTGCAGCTGCGGGCTGATGCAGGGCTAACACGTGGCACTTGAGGGTTTGTGGGAGTCCTTATGAGGTGTGGCCGTGTGCCAGAAAGGCAAGGACCTGAGCTCCGTTACACTCGGGCTTGGCCCACGTTCGCTGTGGTGGAAAAATAGTTGGGTGTTGCCAAGGGTGTAAGGGTGTTGGGTGTTGCCAAGGGTGTAAGGGTGTTTGGTGTTGCCAAGGGTTGTATGTGCATTATAGCTCTGGCTTCATATGCCTCTCTGCTGGATATTAGTTTAGCCTGTTCATGCGCAAGAGCAGGAGCGCAAGAGCAGGAGCGCAAGCGGTGGTGTTGATGGTTGCTTTGCAGGACACCGCATTTAATTTTCTCTTTTACCGACCCTGGCAGCACCAACTGTTCTCCCGCCTCATTGTCTGCATCTCATGTCATTTTTCTTCCCACCTTTTTCTGCAATATTCTCCCTCTCACAACCCCCATTCTCACTTCCCACGTCAGTGGTTGCCGTCCCTCTTCGTGCTGCTGATGGTGGTGCTGTGTTTCTGCATCGGCCACTACCGCCAGCTGCTGCCCTTCATCGTCTTTGGCACGTACACCAGCTGGGCCTACCTGCGCTTCTTCCAGCCCAAGGGCGACAGCGGGCTCAAGGGCGACCCCACTGACGACTTTGCCTTCGAGACATTCTTCCCAGAGGCCCTCAGGTGTGCCTCGCTGCTTCCACATGCTCCTTGCGTTTTCCTTTCTCCTCTGCTCTTCTCTGATTTTGTCGGGTTCTGTTCTGTTCCTTTTGTTCCTTCGTTCTGCGTCTGGCATGCTGCATACTATCTATGTTCTGTGTGTCTCATGTGGATGTCACCATGAAGTCAACATGGCTGGCTGGGGGTGCAAGAATCAGCCTAGTCATCCAACCTGCTGCTTGCTGGGAACATAGCCCACCCCGCTCACATGCCAACCGCTCACTCTTCACAACTGCCCTTCCACCACAACCCCCCTTCGCCTTCCGCTTTCCACTCATCCCCCAGACCCGTGGTGGGCACTGTAGCAACCATTCTCGGGCGGCTGCTGTGCGGGCGGCGGGTTGAACGGGCGGCGGTGGTGGATGAGGACGAGCTGCTGGCGGCCGGCAAGCCGCTGCCCGGCTCCGACCCTGCTGAGGCCTCCCGGCGCAGGTGAGCCCGGCGCAGGTGAGCCTGTTAGCCCATGTTAGCCTGGCCTTGCGCACGTTCGCCAGCGCAGCTGTAGGCATTTAGCTTTGGGTGTCTGTTGGGTTGTCTCCTCACCCCTGACTCCTGGTTCAATTTTTGTTTCCCCCCCCCCCCCTCCCCTCCTGTCGCGCACAGGGAGAGGGGAGCAAGGGCGTTGGAGGAGAGACTGGCCAAGGCAGCAGAGGCGGCAGCTGCAGGAGCTGTGGGTGCCGGGGGCTCTGCTGCTAGCGGCGCCGCTGCTGCTGGTGCCCCCTCTGCTGTTACAACGGGCGCTTCCCTCGGGCCAACTGAGCGGAGTGCCTCTAGTGGCAACCTGGCGGACAAGGTGTGACCGCAGCCAGGCAGGGCACGCAGTGAAGGGCACGGCAGGGCACGCAGTGAAGGGCACGGCAGGGCATGCAGTGAAGGGCACGGCAGGGCATGCAGTGAAGGGCACAGCAGGG